CCAGCTCTGCCCCTTCCCCACGCCCCGGTCAGGGGTTAAAACCAAGAGGCCGGAGCTAGAAGCGGCTCAGCGTTACACCAAGGCTTGGTTAAAGCAGAAGGAAAATAAATCCCAAGTTTCCCTGCCGCTGCGGGGGAAGCCCACCTTTGATCCTCTCACAGCGCCAGGCTAAGCTTTGGCGCTGCTTCTCGCCCAGCCCAGGCCCAGCAGCAAGGCAAAGCCCGAGGCACCATCAGGCACCCATAGGACTTGGGACCTCAGGGTTTCTTCATCAGCTCCCCTTGCCCGCTCTGCCACGAAGGAGTGGGGCTCCTCCAGCCGGGGATCTCAGCCAGGTCAGAGCAGCACACAAACACACCAGGCTTTCCACACAGCAGGAAGAGAGGAGAGCCAGGCCGCCTCTCCTACAAACGCTCTCGCAGGGTTAGAAGCCTTTGAAGAACACCGTGACCTCTGCTAGCTGCTGGCATATGCACCACCTTCCTTTTCCTGTCTCAGAAAGGCTCCACGAAGAGCCAACCACCCTCGTACATTTTTATGTTTTATAGGGTCAATGTTTCTACAGAGAACATCACATCAGAAAACAGCCACTCGAGTACAACAGCAGCAGCAGCGCAGGAGGAAGGTTCAGCACCCAGAGCAGAGCCGGTAACACAGCCCAGCAAGAAACAGGAACGACTTGGCTGGGGGCACGCAGAAGCCTTGAGCTGAGACTTCAGAACCTTTCTGGATGTTTCACCTCTCCCGTTTTGCCCCCAAGTCTGCAGCTGACTTCAGCCCACGAGGCGCACGGCCTCTTCGTTACAATTACAGCACTCTCCGATTTGGGGAAGCGCTGCCCTCCTAAGATACAACCAAAGCCCGGGCTCCCCCCTGCTGGCTTCCTTGCTGCCTGGTGCCACTGCCAGGTTGTCCCCGCTCTGAAACTACCGTCCTCGCTCCTGCTCCCTTGCTCACCTCACTGAAAGAGAACCTGAACATTCCTCCTGGATGCAAATGGCAAGGTCATAACAGATGTTGCTTTGGGCCATACTATCCCAAATCCTTATTTTGCTTTTGTTTAAAGTGTTAAACCAACAGCGTTGAAGTGTTAACCAACAGGCTGAAAATCCGGAACAAAGCAGCAACGCAGAATATGGTCAGCAGTAAAATAACAGTGGAACAGTACAACAGGACAGAACACAGTCACAAACGATGGGATTCCTCCTCCTCCGTCCCATTACCAGATGAGGCTGCCGGCCTCCATCAGCAGAGAGCAGAGGAAGGAATCAGAACCAGCTGCCACGGTACGTACCCAACTCCCACCAGAACAAAAATCCACTTCTGCTCTTGCTGTACAGAACAGCACACATGGGAATGGCCCCGTTCTGTACACAAGTAACACACATAGCAACAGGGGGGAGGCGATCATCTTCAGGCATTAGATGATTCGGGGAATGATTACTACACAGAGTTGATTTGCAGCCTGTGAACGCATAAAAGCCATTTCAGCTGTAGCTCCCAATAAAAAGTTCACCGCAGCCTCAGAAGCCAGGCATTTGCTTCAGATATTCCAGTTCAATGCAACTGCAAATTAATCCATGCCACTTTGTTTCCCCCCTTAAGACTTCACGTACACAGATGTCTTGAGGCTCCGCTGCTCAGCAGAGCGGTGATTCACTGAGCTAGGCTTCCCTTCTGACCCGTCCACAGCTCTCGGAGCTCCACTTTGCAGCCAAGATCCCTCAGCGCAGCTTTGGCCACATCGTCGCAGTCCCTGTGCGTTGCACGAGCTTCTGTTATTAAGTTCTCAGCTCCCATCTCTAAGATGGGCTGAGAAAAGTCCCGGCTCCGGGAGACCAGGTTTCGGATCAGCATGCAAGCCTGTTTCTGAGAAAAGAGGTAAATGAGAGTTATTAGCGTCTTT